AATCTTTCGGTGAGCATGCAGGTTATGTAATCAATCTGGTGGACCGTTTGGCCGTCATTCAAGTGCCAAATCTGTATGTGTTTTCTGGGGGTGCTGTAAACAGATATTGACCACCATCAGTGGATAAAAGCCAGTAAATACGACTAGGCGTTTGGCATTTTCGTACTGCTGACCAAGGCTAACGTTCCTTAGAACACACCGAATATACTCGTCTGGTGGATCGGTGAGTTCATTCCGGTCTGCAGCGATAATTAAAATATCGCGTACTTGACTGCAATTGATTGTGTCTTGAACTTGGTCATAAACGTCATCCCTGATGAGCGTCACATTAGAGCATAGACAGCGATGACAGCCAGGATAAGGGGGCTTGCTCCTGAAGTGTGCTAAAGCAATTCTTGGAGAGAGTGGTTCCCAGGAGATCATGGCATACTGGTCCGTCCGCTCATGGTGATTGCCACTCCGAACTAACTGCAGTTGTCGGTTGGTTTCTTGTAGTATAAACGGTAGATTGCGTCGGTATGGTACATTCATCTCTTTTATGCTACAATTAAGCGATCGGATTTCGGACCAACAGCGGATGTCTACTTTGCAGACGTGTGGTAAGTACACTGCAATGCGCTTTATTCCTGTGTCTAGACATATCCTGACTTCCCAGTAAGTTAGATCTGATGTTTTGATTGTTTAGGTTCCCAACTAGCTCATCTTTTACTCCAGTCACAGGGAGAGCACAAACGGCGTCGCTTCCCGGAAACGCCATAGCATGAACATAATACAATATTCTAAGACAACCCATGGAGCGACTTCAGAATACAGTGCTTAGCGATGTCCTCAGCGTCGATCGGCTTTATCAAAATCATGTGGAGGGCAGCAGAAAACGGTTGGGTTCCGGTGGCCATCAAAACAGCCCGTAGGCTTTTCGAATGACTCAACGCCAATCCATAGTCTCAAAAATTGTTCGTCAGGTCAGAAGGCCGGCGGCTAGCACGTAGCTTGTACGCTCTTCTCAAATGTTGTCTTACATGGGTGAGTAGGTATGTGACCCTATTTGATATCGGGTCACGTCCACGCACGTCAGGATGTCAACAATGAGTTATGGTTTTAAATAAGGGATATAGGTTGCCAGTTGGAAGTCTCGCGATGTCCTCAGGCATCGATTACTTATGAAAGTAACCTCAACCTGTTTACGGTCAACCACTAAGTTGGCCGTTATCCTGTCCGCGACTTGAAGTTGCACGTGACAGCATTCAGCTGTCATCTATAGTCTAAGATCACGTAACCAACCAAGGTTTGAATTTACATGATGAGTGTTGTTATAATCCTAAAATCTGAGAGGCAAACGATTCAGATAATCTAATGAATATATCGAACTTATCAGTTTAATATTTTGGAACAAAATGGATCGACAGCCATCAACGATTCGACCTCTGTCCAAATGATAACTTCCAAAGGCCGAGTTGCAAAAACCTTCTGATTCATAGGGATGACACGAAGCCAGATGTTGGATATAAAACAGGCGGTCTGAAGTGCATGACTTCTCAAGTACGCTTGGCCAATATTCAATGGGGGCAATATGTTTGGCTTTCCACCATATTTACTCTATTTTTATCCTGTACGTCATTCATTCTTGGCAAAAGCTAGTCTGGTTTGACGGTCTGTTGTTGGAATAGTATGACGCTAATGTGTTGGTCTGAAAGCTCTGTTTTTTCCGGTTTGAGTTGCCCAAGTTTGGTGGATGTGCGCTGCTGCTGAAGAAACCTAGCACAAAGCCGAAACAGCTGTACCGTCCTCCCCAGCTTTCGAGTAGAATTTAAGAAATGTAGATTTTACCTCATAAATTTCTTTCACGGCTTTCGTATTTACTTGAAAGACGTTATTTACACTGGTAAAAATACCGCGTTGGCAGCAGACAAATGAATTTGTTCAGTCGTTCTCTTGTGCCTTTCAAACTCATTGATACGATATGGATCATCGGGATAGTTGAAGGTGCTCGGGACATTGATCTAAATGCCCCGCGTATTACCCGTTTTTGTGCGTCCCCAGACAGTTTTGAATTGACCGCACTCACCCCACCCAGATATATATCGCACCAATGCATATACAATGAACGAAAATAAAGTAAAATAATTTTTAGTTATCAGTATCACCCCGAACTAGTTGAATGCTTACCAAGTTATTCGTAATCCAATTAATTCATTTCCAGTATAATAAATTGATGCATTACAGTTATTAATTTTGAACAGAAAAGCCAAAGCTTGGGGTTGGAGGAATTTGTCCCGGATGATTTCGCTATCGTCTCCTTCGGCCGGACAGAGGCAGAGAGAACTGCGTTATCGGGAACCCGAGCACATTCCGGTCTGGCTTCAGAAAAAAACGAGGGAAAACTTGGAAAGTTTAACGTCACCGATTACGCGTAAGGTAGCTCATTTCATCCATCTCCCGGCACACTTGGCTGAAATGAACCGCTGTCATACTGAAAGACGCATTCAAAAACCTGTACAACACAAACTGCATCAGATTTCTCAAACACGCCGAGAAACTAACCGTTGAAATTACCCTTTCAGCTTTACAAACACATGAATAGTTCAGCACTCTGGTGTCAACTGGTTAACAATAAGTGTAGTTTCCCCGTAACGAATTCGAGTACAAAAGCTCAGGTTTGCACAATGTATTCTGGAGCATTTCGCTGCATTTGTACACGTACGTACTGCAGTCTATGTGATCATTAATAAATGGTCAGTAAATGACAGAATCATGGGAGGAGAAAGATTGAGGTCGAAATTACCTAACAAACACATTTGTTACCAAGGCAGCACCGGAGTAATAAGCCATTCACGCTGTTTAAAAAGTTGGGGATGGTAATTTTGATTGGCTGGTGCCTCAGCGTATTGCAGAACCTTGATGTTTTTTGTGTTGTAGAGGATTCTGAACGCGTCTCGCAGCATGACACAATGTTTCATTTTGACCAGGTGTTTTACGATCGACGAATTGAGTTTCCTATAGGTTATCGGTGACGTCATACTTCGAAAGTTCCCTTTCATTGTTTTTTGAAGCCAGACCGGGATGGGCTCGGTTACACGGTAACTCAGTTGTCTCTCCGTTCTGCCGATGTAGATGGCCGAACATCCAGACAAACTGATAGATACAATTAGATTTGGCGTGGGAAGACAGTGGTTCTTTCACCGATGGTATTAGCAACGGGGCGGTTGTAAAAACAACGATAGGATCAGCTGCGTACTAAGTGCGCCTAACGGCCGGTTTAGGAGCTTGGTATTCAGGCAGCTGATATCGTTACCCTTGAAGGGCAGTTGCAGGACCACTCTCACTCTTTCTCCACCTGGTGATTTTTCCCGTGTACGGTTGGGTTTGGAGTGTATAAGAGGAACCCTTTCGGATATTCGTTGGATTGTAAAACTTTTATAATCTTATCATATTCGTTATCCAATGTATTCTCTGTGCAAATCGGTCGCGCCCTGTAAAAGAGCGTTCGAATTAGATCAATCTTATTTACCGCTGGGGTGAAGCTAGTAAAATGGGGATATTGTCCGGACTATGTATCCTTTCGGTACACAGATCTTCTGATTGATCCATCCGTTCGACATGAAACTTCCACATCCAAAAAGGCAATTCTGTCTTAGGTTTCAGTATCACATGTCAATGATATGTTCGGGTAAAGATTATTCAAGCGTTCGAATAACCTCTCGCCATCTTCCGTTGTATCACATGATGAATATATCATCAGGATACTGGCAGTATAGACTCAGCTTTTCAATTTCGTCCCGCAAGTGTATTTTATATATTATCACCGTANTGTATAGATGCAGCAAAATGATTCAGGATACACTGCAAATCTGTGGATTTGGCTTCTCTATTCAAAGCATAAAAGTGTTTGAAGAGCGGTGTTGATCGCAATCGTTCTCAGCCTAATATTTTCTATTTTTCGACCATATTTTATCGATCATTTAAAATGCGGTATGCACACACAGACAGATAGATGCAGCGAAATTATCCAGAACACTGTTTACAACCCAGTGTTTTGACTTTGGTATTCAAATTTCCTTATGTGAGAACAGTGTTGTCAGCTTTCGATTTCGCTGTCCAAATTGCAGAATCAATTGCAATGTTTTTCTTTACTAATAGGGATTAGACCAACCATTAGTTAATCATTGCGACCAAGAGATATCGTTTTTTCATTAACTACAAACGCAAGTTCGTTTTTGCACAATGTGAACACACCAAGCCATTCAGATCTACTAGTTCAAAGGAATTGTCCGAATTCACCCAACCATACCATAATGGATGTTGGAACCTCAAACCAATGGTGAGCAGAGTGAGTCGCCAGGAGAATTTGGCAACCAAATTTACGTAGAATGTTTTCAAGTCAACGTTTATGCCTACTGATGCAAAATCGTTGAACTGCTTGCTCTCTTCTAACCGAGGGCTTCAGCCGATCGGCCAACCAGAATGAGATGGTCGAGGAAATTGATAGATATCAGGAATAACGCTTTCTACTTCTGTGCCATGAGCAGACTAGAGAGGGAAACCGGTACATACAAATCCGTTGGGGCTTCCAGACAATAATTTCAAAGATTTCAAAGAGAGATAGATACAGCGGAGTGCCTCAAAAGCGGTTTGTCAAGGTGATTGTCTTTTCCGGCCTTCAGTCCCCTACTCGAATTCATAGCGAACAGTGAGATTGGAGGATGCAGGACTTGACTGTGTTTTTTACTAGACGGGTTTTTATAGGGGAATAAAGCACGACCAAAATTGTTCAAACACATGTTCTTCGTCAGTCCGATGGCGAATTTCAAATATAGAAAGACAGCTTCTTCAACCAAGATACTTGCAGTCAAAAAAGCAATTGTCTGTTCAGCATTCTAGACAGATTCTACTCAAGCAGCGCTTTGTAGTATCTTGTGCGCAAATCAAATAATATGTGCAGTGTTAAAGATGACCGGAAAATTCCCTACACTGTTTTTCTTATTTTATTTATGCAAGCTTGTTTATTTCCGATGCAAAAAGCCAGTTGCCGGATGCTTGGAGTAGGTCAGGACATCACGATTTGGTTGACGATCGTTGAACCGGATCGCTGCAAAGCAAGGGGAAACAATCAAACTCAGATAATGAAGGTGAATTTGTGGCAACATTTTATTCAAACATTAGCGAAACTTATATGGTATTTCTGTGTATTACCAGTTTTGTATTAATGATAACTAATGTACAAGACTATTTGACGAAGTCTAATGCTGGAAAAATCTTTTTCCGAACGAATTTCCCGAGAGATGTTACTGAAAAAGTTGTGAAGAAATTAGAAGTGTCGGGGGCATACAGATATATTATTGATCTGGTTCAAGATCATTGGACGTGTATATATAGATAATCGGTGGTAACATCATTTTGCACAATTCTTGTTGGGAAACCGGACTAGCAATCCTGTAGTTAGATGCAGAGTTTTAGGTAACTGCAGTCACCCACTATAACAAATGGTCGACTGCGTTGGTCGGACACGTGTTATGCATGTCACCAAATAAGTTGCCGCCGTCTGCTATGTTTGTCGAGACAAGTGTTGGGTGAAAGAAGTCAAAAACGGTTGAACTCACATGACTTTATGAAAACTCTGACCAGGAGAGTTGCTCACACAGGTCGCGTTAGGTTTGCTGGGTGAGGACCTCGAGATCATCGTAACCGATGATTGGAGGTAATGAGTGATATGGTATCAAACACTGCTCTCAACATTCTAGTCTTCCCTCCAATTAGTTATCCACAAATTTCATCTAAAACTGTCATACGAAAGTGCATATTTAATGGTTGCAAAGAACTTAAACCTGAAACCCGATCTATGAGCCGAATTGGTCACCTCCAAAAATGCTTGTCTATTCGTAAATCTCGGACATGATATTTAAACCCCTCTGTCACTTTCGGTAAAGATTACCTCAACTCCACGTCATGTTGTTCTGGACTTTATTTGTTCTCTTTCTCTATGTCTGCATACAATGACAGCTTCCTGGTGTGTTCTAGGAATGATCGTTTTTTATCCCGGTTCTTACTCGTAAAAAATAAACTCACCAACAAATATTGAATACTGCAACTCGGTTTGAAGTAAAGCCTCATTTACTTGCCTGTATCATCTTGTTTTTGTTCAATGAAAAGCTGCCCGTTGAACTGATGCTCCACCTCTGGCTTTCTGCGCGCGGCTACCAGCTCACCATTGAAAACATTACTTCACTTTCTGTCTTGTATTGATACTTTTGTCGCTTCTATGCATAAAAGAAATTAGAATTTTCCGTTTCTGCGAACCTTCCGTCAACGTGCCAAAATCTTGAATACACTAGCTCATCATTACTAAATAAGTATCTCTTCCAAGAACGCTAATTCTTGCAGCACCTGCCCACTTCCACATTCCATCTTTCTTGGAATATTCCTGTTTTCAAACGTGGGCGTATCAAACGACTGTTCTGAAACACTCTTTAGCTATGTACATTGCGAAGTTATACTGTTTTTCTTGTATTCTGCTATACTCGTTAGTTTCATTTTCAGTTTGAACAACCATTAACCACGCATATTCGTGGGCCGGTTTTGGTTGCTGTCTTTTGGCCGCCCATTTGGATGAAGAATAGAAGAAGAAAGGGAAGTTGAAAGTGGAGTCGAACATAAAATGGAGAATTTTAGTGGTCTAAGGTTGCAAAGAGATTGAGAAGATGCACGAACGCCAGTGGTTGCGACACCCAGCCATATCACTCAGTGTCTCTAACCATCGGTTACGATCATCCCGAGGTCCCCAGCCAGGGAGCCTAACAGGACCTATGTGACCCAGTCTCCTGGTTAGGGTTTTCATACCCTCGTGCCAGGTCTTAGCTTGACAACTATTGGCTTTTTTCCACTCGGTGTCTGCTTCGGTGAACATCGCTCGCCGTGGTAACCTACCTGGTGACATGCGTAGGCCGTGGTAACCTATCTGGTGACATGCGTAACACATGTCCCAGCCAACGTAATCTATGGAAGTCGACTACTTGCTCCAGTGGGCGACCGCATTTACCCAGAACTCTGCCCATAACCTCAGCATGGCTCATCCGGCTATCCCACCAGATTCGCGCAATGCTGTGTAGACAGCGGTGTTCAAACACCGACACTCTGTCTTTATCCTGTTTTCTTAATGGCCAAGTAAATGTGTATGAATCATATAAAACGTAACTGATGAGAGATAATATTTGCGAAACTGATCATGTGTTTCCGAAGAAATTTCCAGCTCTTATTCGGTTACTACTTATTGCATGGGTTTCAAGAAATATTGCCCGAGTCAATGGTGCTGGGTTAGTGGCATGTGATAAAAAGAAATTCACACAAAAATCAGTTAAAAGAGCTACTTAAAATAACTGCTCCCCGAGTTGCAAATTAGAAAATGGTGAAGAATAAAATTTTTTTTATCCACCGAAAAGTCTAGCACAGATAGAAATATTTGTTTCGTTTTCTGTCTGACACAACAATCAAAGTCCTGTTAGCATGAAATACATTGCTTGCTCGTATTGTGAGCGTTGATGGCGAGCACCTGCTCAAAAGGTTTGCATTACAATACCCCGAAGTTCGGGTGTTGAAGCGCTGTCACCAGCACCCGGATTTTGCATTCCCGTATAGTTTAACAAAGCCTTTGATAAACCACAGCCCCTACAGAAAATTGTTTATACAATAAAATAAAGAGAATTAAAAGCTTATTGTCATTATTATGTATTATAAAGAAGCTGTATCCGAACTGAATCAGAAACAGACTAGACATTGACTTACGCGGTAGCTTTAGTTCCTTGATGGGAAACACCTGCTCTTCATTCACCGGTTTTGACTTCCACGAAATCAGGCGTAAGATTCCCGGAGGATTTTCGTCTTGCATGTTTAACACATACGCTTGATTCATCAGATGTGCCCGTGAAACCCCAATCATTATACGTGCGGCTTCAATGGAATCGCGGCAGTCGTTGACATTGAGGCACTGCCGGACAGGAACAGAAAGCGCCGAATATGTTGCATTTGTCACGAATATATAAAAAAGCAGTTTCAGTGCAGTTGTACGAGTTCGAATTTATCCAAGTATTTAAAATTGGCAGGCTCTTTTATGAGAAGTCAGTTCTCAGTGTTTGGTAAAAAATAAATAGTTTCATTTTTAGATGGTCAATATTTGGATTAACCCATTCGGTTTTTCACAGGCACCAGACACTGTTGATGATGTTCGATGTGGGCTTCACTCCTTGGGAGATCGTTAATTCTCCACTGTTTGAATGCATTTAAATGCGGTGGAACCCCACACCAAATATCATCAACAGAGTCTGGTGCATGTGAAAAACCGAATGGGCTAATCCAAACATTCACCATCTAAATTGATTGAGCCATTCGCACAAGATGATAACCGTCGACTGTGTAGCTCAGGGGTAAGCGTTTGAAGTCCCGACCTAAATGTTAGCAGTTCCAGTTCTGACAGGGACACAAAAGTACGCACTGCTGACGAGTCCCAAACAGGACGAAAGAGGTGTCCAGTGCTCCTTGTCAGTTATTACAGACATTTCCATATTTCATATTCGAAAACCAATCTAACAATTAAGTTCAATTCCAAAAATTTATTGTCTTTTTCGAGACAGAACTAGACTGGTTTTGTCTATTGCACACATCAAAGGACAATGTCATTCTAAATTTTCTTTGGTAAACGGGACGAAAAATGGACTACACTTTGTTTAGGCGGGATTGATTTCGCCATTGTGGAAACGTAGACAACAACCAGAAATAGCAAAACAGAGAACTAAAACATCGACTGTAGGTACTCATGTAGAATGTGGTATTCAGTTCCAACCTGGTTTGTTCCATTCAAAGTAGTTATTAGTTTGTTTGTCATTGAGCTATTTGCTATTGTTTTCTGATAAGCTAGATGAAACTAGTTTTAAAGGTGGAAGGTGGATGCAACCGTTTGTATGGATATTACATATTACAAAATAACTCAGTCCCAATGCTGTCAATGTGAATGATCACTGATTTTCTATAACCATAACAGATTTTTGCAAGCATATGAGTCAATGTGAATTGTTCGGTAGAGTCAATTTGGGCGTAGCCACAGTATGTCTATCCAAACGGGCGGCCAAAAGACAGCAACTAAGCTCGGCGCACAAAAAGGTGTAGTCAATGGTTGTACAAACTAAAAGTGAAAGTGAAACAGTATGCTTTGGGACTGGGACGTTTATTGCACTTTCCGCTTCTAAACCGAACACCCCAATAGCTGATAGAATCACGAGAAACAAATTTCTGAGAAACTATTAGAACGTATGAGTTTCAGTTTTTACAATCACCAACCATACACTTTCGTGCCCTGGTTTTGGTTGCTCTCTCATGACTGCCCATTTGGATAAAAGAGTGGGAGTTGAGATGGAATGTTGACAGCAGGGTCAAAGATAAGGTAGAGAATTCACATGAACTAAGGTTGTCAGGATAGTGAGTAGATGTACGGGTGCCACGGTTTGCGAATCATATGAGTGGTAAATTCAGAACTGAGATGCACTGACTATGTGAGAACTTCAGGTTGGGCCAACCAAAAAGGTAGTATTGTTGGGAACCGAAACAAGTCACATCTGGGTGATGCATTTCTGGAAGAATTATATCGCTGGTTTTAGGGGACATTGTCGAATATACTTTGTCAAACATCTACAGTGAAGCCGTCATGCACAATTCTTGACTGTATTCATTCATTTAATATGTCGGTTTTTGGTTTAGTTTGGCTCCGAAAATAACACGAACAGCTAAAAGACTTATTAGGGAGTTAATTACTTGTGAATGCAAAACATGTTGTACAGTACTTGTACTTGCACAAGCGAACAGCCTACACTGCGATTGAAATCTGAAATATAAAACGTGAAATAAATAAAGTGGATGACATTGCCAGGAGTTTGGTGAATTGAAAATAACTAGGGCGTTTGCTTCAACTAAAGCACCGTAACAGAGGTGTTGGGTTCAATGCACAAAAGAAGGATAGTAGAACAATTGCGGCGAGGTTTGAACTTAACGTCTCTACGGGACCGCAAAAAGCTGCGCGTTTTATGTGATTTGTGACGTACAAGTATGTGTGAGTATCAATAATAAGCTCATTGGGATCGTATACCTAAAGTCAGCTCAATAATGGACTTTATTTATAGAGAACTTTGAAAGTTGAACTACGAAACCTATCTGATAATAAGTNATAAGTATTGCTTTTTGGTTTGAACCATATGAGGCAAGTCGCCAAAATAATTTCTTTGTTCACAAAATCCTAAAAGTGAACTTTCAAATAAGCCTCGCTAGGTCAATCATTTCGTACTGTTTGCGTGTACGTAAAGCGTAAACACAAACTCATGATGTTAATGGAGGATTTGATTCAATTTCAAAGGGTAATTCATCGTGTATATAACAAATGAAGGGTGAACTGAAAAGCTAGGAAGCACTGGACAGCTGTTTCCGCCTGGTTGGGTCTCATCAGCAGTGCAAATCCATCGACCTGACTGGGGATCGAACACGAGACCTCACAGGTGGCCGAGTGGGCAGCATACTTGCGTTTCACCTGTCAGGTCCAGCATTCAATCCCCAGTTGGGTCGATGAATTCACGCACTGTTGATGAGACCCAACCAGGTGGAAATAGCTGTCCAGTCCGTCCTAGCTTTTCAGTTCAGGCTTCATTTGCTATATACACGAGGAATTCCCCTTTAGAAACCCATGATTTGAATCAAACGGGGAACAATTTACTTGAATCATATGGGGCAAACTGTAAGCCTTTTTCATCCACTTGAGTGCCGAGGCAAAATCACCAATAGCATCAAAAGCCGATCCGAGCATTTGGCACGCACGACCAAGCTCAACCCATCGTCCGTGACGCTCGCAAATGCAAGCAAATTTTTGTAGGTGTTCAATGCTTTCCTCCAATTTCTTTTGCCTAAACACAAGAAAAAGCAATAAATATATTCAAAATAAACATTTATGCGTTTAGAATTCATCATGTCCGAAAGTAGAAGCTATTCGAATAGCTGGCCATTAGCTGTTTACTTCTCTTCCAAGTTAATAAATTTATCTTCAGTCATGCCACGATAGTGGCTACCACGCGGTATTCGGATAAATTTCCGATGGTCTCCAAGATTCACCAACCAAAGGATACTGAAGAGTCACAATCTTGGCCAGAATATAACTCATAGAAATCGTTATCATGGTTAATTTTCCTGTTAAAAAATGGAATATCACAACTGATTTACAATATGAATTTTACGAATTGATCACTTTTATCTATCGGCGTGGATGAAAAATGAAAACATATTTTTATTCTTCATTCACGCAAAAGACAAAAGAATGATCAATTCTTAAAATTCATATGAATCATGACTCGTTTTCAGGAAGGCCAGAGTGAGAGATTGCTTGTTCAACTTTGACTGCTTGTCTCATGGCCAGGTCACTCTACATAATTAATCTTGATACCATATTTTATCCAACAAAATAATCGGATTTTCTCATTTTTATTCGGCAACCGTTAAAACCTTTGATTTATTTGACCCATTTTCATAACAAGGTAATTGAGATTAGAACGAAAGGGAATTTCTGTGAAGCAAGACTTCGTCTCGTAGATTGAATTTGGCATGTATTGTCACCATAGCTGCTCATCTGATATTTCCTCACTCGTGCCATCGTCGAAAGAGTTAAAGTGAAGTGAACTTACCTGATTACTGCCAAGCTCATAGTTCATAGAAAGATAATAAGAATGTGCATGATAAGTACAGCATGAGATAATTGATATACATATAACACTGGCTTGTAGACAAGCATGGTGCCAACGCCACATTAATTATAACAATAACTATAACAGGATGCAGGTGGATTGGGATACAGAACAAAGTGGATAGAAGTTGAAACAGTTCAAATGGTAACCGGAATAACAAAATTTTGTGTTTCTCTGTACACTTTTTGATATTTTTATGGTGTTGTTTGATTAACACACAGGAAGTGAACCAGCATGGTCCGAGATTTTTTCTCATTTGTCAGATGGTCAACAAATTTTGGTCTGTGAGGTATACCAAGACTGACATTCGCGGCCAGGTAGTTTCTGGAACGCTTATTGAACTACTTATGAGTAACCTGTATATTCTAATGAAAACTTACAGCAGTTGTGAATCGATTTCGGAATGTTCACACTTGGTGTGTGTGAAGAGCTCATCAAATTTACATGTTGAGATTTTATTCATTCTCTTATTACTGAAAATTGCATTTCACTCCTTTTACTTATTATTTTTTGTGCCTGATATGGAAGAACCGCTGACAGGTGTAAAAGCGGCACTAAAATATATACATGTAAGCATGTTAGGTATGCATGTTAGTGCAAACGTTTCACTTGGCATAACTGCTTTCCACATTGAAAGAAGCATCTCTTATTCTATTTTCATTGATCTAATGTTTCATTGTTGCCTTTGGACAATAATTCAATTGTTTTTTTTACGTGAATTTCGCGGATACCAGCAAACACAACCCAGGGGATGGCATAAGTTGGTAACCGAAGATCAAAAGGTTACTTTTCGTGTACATTCATCTCATGTAGTAATACAAATTTGTCCGAACTCACCTTTGGCACAACTTAGCCAAAGCCTCACAAGCCAAACTCAAATTTCCATAATCTTCTTTGGAATTGGATTTGTCAAAATAAGTTCGGTAATTCTGAAAGTCAACGTCAACTCATGATCAATGCCTTTGTTAATACTAATGGATTCAATCAATTTGAGAACAGAGAAGCTAAAAAAGCACGACAGGCAAAACTTGATGTTAGTATCCAGATGCGTTCTCTGATGCGGATAAACTGATCGAAAGTTCGTATAAAGTACGCGAAGAAAAAGTCGCTATCGCGTTGTGCTAGTTAAACCCGCTTGGGCCCATGTTAGGATCACTAGGAGAAATCATAGCCATCAAGCGCCGAAGCCCCTACTGTGTTAGCAGAAGGTCTACATCAGTCTAACGTTGTCCTGGTGATCAGGTCAGCGGAAGAATCAATTGATATCATGTTAGATTGTCATGACCTGTGATATATGAACTGTTTCTTCTACGGTAAGCACCAGTTGAGATGCAGCGAAATGATGCCGGAATTAAAGCGTGCTCGCTTGCAATATTGTGCTCTTTGTCAAAAATCATAGCATCAATTCAAAATGGAATGATCAGTCCATGGGCGATTTGAAAGTATATTTATTTATGCAAGCATAAGCACAAGATACGCGAATTCATGTCCCTACAGATTTGCCATCTTGTGAACATCCGTCTTCCCCAGTAAAATAATAAAACTAATCAATGACCTATTCTATGTTCTAAATTTTTCTTGGTTGGTTCATGGCCGCCGATTGAATTACCTTGCAACTAATGTAGGAAACAGAACGACCATTAATAAACCTCAAAATGAAAACAACCATGTAATATCTGGAAAGGATAACGCTACCAAATGAGAACAGTTGAAGAATCAGGTGGAAGTTGTGTTTAAAACTGGAAACAACAACAAAGATGAAAGCCTTATCTACCTACTTCAAGAGCCTCGTCGTAGTACCCGGCTTCCTCAAGCAATTGTCCAAGACGAAGCCAAACCATAGCCTCTGTATCCCAATCATTGCCTAGCAATTAAAAAGTGAAATCGAATTCAATAACTTCAATAAAAATGTAAGAAATGAATGAAAAACAATTTACATCCAAAAAGAATATACCTTAGATCTCTGGTGTTCTAGTATTTCAAATAAGTGATAAATCAATTTTTTGCCTTATCCCCTTGAGTTAAATAGAGAAATAACAGCTTAAATAATCGCCAGTGATTGCGTCAGTCATTAAAAATGAGAACCAACCGCTTACGATTACCAAGGACATTAGCACTAACTGTCAACCAGGGCAAAAGAGCTAATCTAGTTAGTTGCAGCACGGAGTAAAGCATTGCACAACAAGTTCGTGTTCTTACCCTGTGATCACGTTTTCCTTTTTCCCTTTAAAACTTAAGCGCGTGGATTCAAGGTCAGGGGAAATGTTGTGTGAACCAATAAACATAACATGTATGAACTTCAGTTACAACAGGCTTCAAAAGCTTTCCATAGTTAAGTGGCTACCATGTTTGAATGAAACCAATGCGGATTCTCCAAGCCCAAACACGTGAAATGAATGCGGCGTAGATCGCGGTGTTTGAAAATAAACGGTTTATGCTTTTCCTGTTTTTGTAATGGCCACGTTTCCGTACCTTACAGTAAAACTTGCCAAACTGATACAGCATACACTCTGTTCTTCACAGAAAACCGGATATCGCGACGGTGCCACATATGTCCAAAGTTGGCAAATGTCAACCGAGCCTTCTGTGTGCCTGCCGACACTTCATCCGTGATGCGCCTACCAGATGAGGTTTAGCTGCCCAAATAACAAACTTTGTTCATCAACTCTATGACGTCTCCAGTTAGAATGAGACTGGAAACTGAACCATCTCAGTCCTGTAGCAACTTTTACAGCTCGTGGGTGCAAAGAGCATGTGATACATGGCTACGCTGGTACTCAAACTAGCTTGTAACCTATCCGGATCTTCAGGAAAATTTAACTTGTCTGGCCACTTCACAAGCACTGATGATGTCACCTCGGCTGGTGATGAAACATTTGCAAACAAATTGCCAAGCTCGGCGAACAGGCGAAATGGAATTCAGTTCACCCGAGCTAAGAGAACCGATTTTCAATATTTTGTCAAGAAACAATTATGTTTACCATTTCTTTTTACAGTGCTTACGTAATCCATGGGCACACTTACATTCGAGTGCAATTTTGTGAGCTTGACGACAAAGCTCTATTCGATTAGAGTGATAATCTTCTGGACAGTCGTCTATTTGTTTCAAATAATTATCCACCAAAAACTGAGAGGCCAATCGTGATAACAATTGACCACAATCGTTTGTCCACTGTTTTTCACGAGTCAATCGATAGAACTCCCGAAGACTTTGTGCAGCAAGAGCCAACTGTCCTGGAAATAGAGGAGGGTAACATGAATCAAACACTAAATCCCGATAACACTTTACAGTGTGTGGCTGACATGGGGGAAATAAGGTAATTGAGAATTTTTGCAAAATTTTACTAATTAGGTTGGTGGTAATGTTCGAGTGGAAAGGTGTTTGAAATAAACACTTAGAGGTCCCGGATTCGATGCATCCTCCTACGCCCTACAACCCCCTCCCCCGATCACCGGTCTTCTTCTCAATATTTGTATTTCTCTAGGCAGCCTTTTGATGGTCGAAATCCCCCTCCTGAAGGTTGATTTAACACTTCGACAATCAATAAACAAAAAAGGAAGTACAATTTATTTATGATTATGCTGAATCTGCAATGCCAACTTGTCAAATCACATTCGTTCACCCTCTCTCTCTCACTCAGTCGTAACTTGTTTCGGATTCAATGCCCTTTTTACCGTTTTTAATTGATGAATATCATAATCGATCACTTCCTTCATCTGCACAACCACACGGGCTGACACATGCACACACACAGCATATGTTTTAGCTTTCTCCGTCACAAGATCCCTTTTGTTTGTGAGTTGACCTTTGTGGCTAAGCTCATATCGAGTTCGTACTTGAGCGTTCATTCATTGTTTATCATAGGCCCATGTTTCCTACCCCCTACTCTGATTGGACAGTCCTCATAGCATCCGATCCTGTTTTTGTAGTGCGAAACGGCACTTCGAGCTTGCGATGTTATGTGGCTTGTCACCTGTTAGCCACGAGATACACTCGGGTAGGCATTCGATACATGAGTACCCATGATCTGTCGCCAAGGTCGGGTACTCGATAAACGAATGCTGACACGATTATTCACCCGTACTCCTGTGCTTTCCTGGGGATCACTGAGGAACAGTGCTCGTGGTATTCCAGAGGGCCTCTACGATCAATCTGCATGGTACAGAAAACAAATCAACACGAACCAAAGGTCCACTAAGACATGCACACTACTCACCATATACACTGCTCTCGATGCCGGTTGTTTTTGACAGACGAGCACGAAGTGCACTTAAAAGAGTGATGGAAATTGGGGTTTTGCATAGTTATAAGTTCGTGAAAAAGACACCAAAAAGCTGATATACGAAGTTCAATCTACCGGAAACGTAACCGATATCCACGAAAACATCGGCTGAATCTGGTAGCCTCAACGTGTTGTATTGTGTACGGAGAAGTCCTCAAACGACCACGAGGAGAAGTGCACATGATGGCTGACACGATTGGATGTGTGGCTAGCAGAAGATATACCTACCGTTTTATGGCGCTCAAATAGCGTCCTTGACCAGTTTATTCACGTAACATTTTCTGCTTGAATCTCTCAAAGTTTTACACAGGTCCAGCTGATGTATGCATGCATTGATCATAACCAAAACCGATACCGAGAGAGTATTCCTGTATTCCATTCCACCTTTTACGGTGATATCTTAATTTCCTGTCAACCATGTTGGTCCTTTTACGATATCTTGAACGGTACAAAGCCGTGTAAAAGTTCCACCGAACTATTAATATCTGTGATTTTCCCTCCACATTTTTTCCGAGTTCATGAGACATCTGTTCATTGACGATTTGAGGGCTTTGAGACACACCTTCCACAAATTATAGCGGATAATATTCAACTGGTGACTTCGCCCTTCGCTGCTCCATATGATGACCAACATGAATCACTATTGTTAAATGGAGGCCTAAAGTTGATGTAATGTACTTTGAACTGCTTTAAAGAGAACACCACATCCCATATGGATATCTGTTCTCTTTGATGCCCTATGGTTTCTCTGCTGAGGTTGCACAGGGATGAATATCGGGAGTGTGTTTATTAAGGGTCACTTCAGAATTTTCCATCACACGTGATCGCATACTCTGCTCATAAGAAATATGCGATTAATTGAATCCTCCAGTTGATGTCTTTTGCATTATCTTCCCAGACAACGCATACCTCTCGCTAAATCGGTGACCGGGTTTCAGTATATCAAGCTATATATTTTTCGAAAATTGTGATCAATATCTGAAAACATTGAAGGTCAACAAGAGAGTCTTTGTTAGAGTATACGATCATTACACATTGTAAGAAAAGAGTGCTAACGAACAAGCTCTTTTGCGATGATTCAACTACAGGCTAATACAGCACAGTTTATGTTTGTAAGAGGAGAAATTATCAACATTCCAATTCCATGACCAGGTGTTGCTGAAACTTTGATCATCACACACACCTATTAGTTCGGGTTAATAGGAGTGGGCGGGGACTATGGACGATCGAATGTTCTTGCAAGTTGTTTTTGTTGGTGTAGGGACGAGGGCTTATGCTCTAGAATTCCGATCGTTTCCGCTGTGGCCGAAATGCTACTCCCAATCTTCTTAGATCGGTGAGTTTGAACCAGGAAGAGGGGTCAATACACCTCGACCAAATTAACCATGCCTGTTGACTCAACTAGGTGTGAACTGATTGAACTGTTGATAACCCTAATCATCCCACTATTCAACTAGTCTGAGTAGGTGCTTGCGGACTCGTTCAGATAAACGTCTGCTCGTACGGTCAAAATAGTTTGTCCCACAGGATCAGGGAAATAATTGTACACTGAAATAGAATATAGAAGGTGGTCATTTATCTTTGAGCTGAAATCACAAGACCGATTCGGAAATGAACACAATGCGAACCTTTGTCGTGAGGAATGCTTTGCCAGAGCTATACTCAGTCACGACCCTGGCAGATTTGTTTCCCTTCAAAGGTATTAATACGTTAACCGGTTTCTCTTCAACGGTGATGACCTTATTTGGCAACCATTGATGCCTCAAAATGTCGTCCACCAATCGTTCTGAGTATCCATTATAAAGAAAACAATCTCGAATAAACCACAGCTCACTCCCAATGGTATCATCCGTACATATTATCTGCGCTCTGGTAGCGAGGCACTGAACCCGGTTTTTTCCGTTCTAATGGTACAGCTTTTGAAAGGGATACACTGATTACACTACAATGGTCTCCTGTGTATGGTGCACTAGATAGTTTCATCTGATCGACGACTTAGTAGAACGTCCAGAAGTGCCCATTCATTTTGTTCTCCAGAATGAATTTTGTTTGGATGTACTGAGCTAAATACTTTCAAGAGTATGGGCAGACTCACACTGTCACCGGTAGAGTACAAAATGCTATCAATATATCGCTAATGTAATAGGAAACGAGGATATTGTCCCAAGCTTAGCCATGAAGGCATCTGCAAAAGCGAATCAAAGGGGAGGCATCATTGCTATCCCATCTATTTGAAGATCAACATCGTCGTTGAAAATGATGTGGAATGGTTGTAGCTCGTCGTTGAGTTTCAATTGTGCGGTATGTAGAAAAATATAGCAATTGTTTGAGATATTCCAGTAATTGCTTTGTATGTGATCGCAGGCGTATTCAACAGTTTCAGCAACTGAGACTGAAACTTACTTCGCGTGATATCATGCGTAATCGGTTTCAGTCCTAAATTCTAGTCGTTAAGTTATAGAAACCACTTAATGTATGTTTGGCTAGTTATGCTCTGACGGGTTCCAGGATTGCTACCATTCATTTAGCTATGGCATGGTAAGGATGTTGCCCGTTTCGGTCGGAGATGGAATCCATCTTTATGTATCTTTGGTAAGCCATAGAGTTTTGAGATCGTTGTCTCAGTAGATTGGTGGCAGTGTTTATTACCTCCCTATATTTTGGGCACCGAAGCGTTTTCGACAGTTACTTTTCCATTTTTTCACTTTCCCCCCAACTGTTTTCTAGAATTTCATTGTATCGTTGAGTGTACTGTTCATCATGCTGATGGATTCCGATCCATTTAAACAGACTATTCTCACCCCTTTATCTGTCCTTGGAACAATAAGATCTCGGTTCTTCCTCAGCTCCTTCAACTGTTCCCTAGTCGTTGTGGTCAACATTTTCACTCTAAGCTGTAAACAGAAGAAAGCGCAAACAGAGACTTCTAGTTTGACCACTTTACCAGTGATATACAATTATAGTGAATAATACTGGGTGATGAATAATACTTCATTAATGTTACTAATATTAAATTTGTTTACAATTTGTTCTGTTATCACGAGTTTCAGATTGCACTAGCCTAACCAATGATGACGACACAATCATTGAAACTCGATCAAAAACAACAAAACGCACGGAAACATAACTGTACACAAATTCCCAGGACAGTGAACCCGGAATAGGACGAACCTCGCATCTGTAATACCAATCCATAATGCTGGTGAGCGACGGCCAATTTCAGTTTGTCATCGTCTGTAATCCCCTCCGCAATCTGGAGAGCGTATTGAAAAAAGTGTTCAGCTAACCAAACATCGTCTGGACAATCTTGAAATTCTCGACCGAGGAGAAGGTACGAGCTGAATACAGTGTGCGGATCTCGACGTCTGAGCGCCGATTCGGCTTCGGAAAGATGATAAGCGAGTAGTTTGATCTTGTCTGGCTGTTCCGCAATCGGAGGAATAAACCACAGGGGTGAATCAGGTCCGGCCAGTCGTCTGTCCTCGTTTTGTTTTTCGTACAGATGGAATATTTCAGCGAAAGATTTGTGATACCCATTCTGCAACAGACTCTGACAGAGTATATCGTATATTGGTTCACGTATTCTGGATGCAGAAGAGAAGTAAGAGACAAACAATATTGATCCAATGGGACAGGTGGTTCGGAGAGAGGAACGAATCCGATAAGCTGACACGCAATATCATGATCTAAAACATATGAGTGAAAAGGGAAAGTTTTCTATCCTCTGTCGCCAATAGGGCTCACATACATAGACCTGGGGCGCCAAACAATTTAGTTTGGTAAATAATGTGTTTGGGAAAGTATTTTTATTATTTTTTTGATGTCAAGAAAAATACACTGTGTAGATGTAACAAAATGTCCCACTGCACCCTCATCCACCAATTAAATTCTACATGAGAGTAGTGAACGATTTGATTTGAATACGTGGCGAATTTTGTCGGTGTGAATGAAGCGTGAACTGAAAAACTGAATAGATCCATCTATAGGATAGAACCCGGGAGCTTCAGGTAAAAGGCAAGAATACTGCTTACTTGACCGCCGGACAAATGTGCTTGGTATAGCATAACTCAAAATTGCAAGCACTGCAGATGAAACCGAACCGGGTCGAAAAAGCTGTACAGTGCTTCCTAGCTCTTCATATCACGCTTCGTGTGCTCTGTGCACGGCGAAATTCACCGTAGAATTCAACATCGCTTTGACAAATCATGTGAAAAAGTTTCAAAAGCAATCATTCGTAAACTCCTTTTTTATTTTTTCCTCATTGTCTCGGCAATTACGCGCGTTAAATTTTCCACAACAGATTCTCCTAACTGATGCCCTAAAAACAGACAGGCAGGCAGCATCGGATTCGGAACCTATCCTCCTCCTGCACCGGGTCGAAAATGACACGACCGATCGGGTTGATTTATCGGTGGTTGCCTAGCTAACCCGAGCGAGAAACCACACCTTGTTTACAGCCGTGAGTCTCAGACAGGCCTAGTGAACCTAGACTATGCAGCAGGTGTGCCATCAGCCCACGGATGGAGTGAACGCGACAACAAGAGCATTACAAAACGTATAAGCCCGTAATCAAACAGTCTCGTGTTGGGGTGAGGGATTTAAAGCGCCGCAGATCGCGGACTATGATCCAATCAGATCACAGAAATATGGTCAGGGGGAATTTACTTGTTTAAGGTCACAGGTGAGAGGGGCGAGACAATATGAAAAGTTGGAGCAGTCGCACGTATACCTATTCAACTTCAAGTGAATCCAGTCAATCGCATTTTACAAGGGACCCCTCAAGATGTTCGGTTCTTCAGTCGTCACATACCAAAAGCCACCTCGACCGAAGTGAACTGATTTTTCCATAGATAAAGAAAAGTACTTTTTGAAAGAGTTACCAAGCGAGGGTGAAGGTTTCAGTGGGGTGGGGTTTGAATGTTCGTCGCCCCTCCGCAAAAACCCGGGAATGTTATGTCCGCAATCGTTGATCGAGTGTGCGTTGAAGACGAGAATGAACGAACCCGGCGGTATTTGTCCTCTTTCGGTCGGATAAAGAAAGGAATCACGTCAAAATGGATCGACAAGTCGGTTACCATACCCAAACCTGAATCTTGGGATGATTCATTGAAAGAGTGGATTTGGTCTAGGACCTCCTAGTGAGTTGATTCCATTTGGACCGTGATTTCCTCAAATAATACGGATTCCTTTGAATAAAATGCATCTGCGTACCTATTTCTGATATTAAAATACACACTTAACAAGCTACTTAACAATGGTGCAAGGATACAATGAAATAATTACCAGTATTTCATTTGAATAGTAAGATCAAATCCAAACCTATTCACTGGCCAACAGGAATCCCATTTCTCTCTGTCATTCCCGGGCTGGCCGTTACATTCCATCCACAATACCAATGACAACAATCCGTCATCTGCAGTTACTCCCTCCGTTACTCAGATTCATCGCATAGGTTTTTATCTTTGTTGTTTCATTGATCAACCCGTCGCATCTTTCCCATCCTGATTGCATCTGTGCGATCCGGATAGTTTAGTGAACGAGACAGGTGATGATAAGACTGAGTTTTCGCTATCCATGATCCAACAAGTATTGTATCCATGGTTGCCTTAGTGTTGATCCGTGATTTTCTTCGCGTGAGAAACAGTTGCCTCCACGGACGAATTCACGAAAAATCGGGGAAATATGTTGCAAAGTGACAAGCGCGGTGCCACTGAATGTCCGATAATGGGCCTCTACTTCGCTTTACCTGCTGCCTTGCGGTTATTGCTAAAACTAAAGGCTTTGGGCGAGAACCCTAATCGTTCTCCTGTCAGTACGCGTCCATCAAACACTAATGCCTACCCCTTCTTCGCACCCGCAACATTCCGTCAGACAACTTGTTCGTCACTCGTCATCGTTCGTTGCCAAGTATTGCGNAGTATTGCGGTAATTAGTTTACCACAAAATAGATTACACATTATAAAGCCTCTTTAATCACTGAATCAAACCTGATGATCACACATATCAGTGGTTAGACGATGTTTCAACGCACCATACGACCACAATACACGCAACCGCAAATGTTGGATTTGGTTACGCAACGAAATGGTCACCGGTCAGTATCCGTGGTTGTCCTCATCGTAATAGACGCTTCACACAGCCACTCCACGTAAATCCACGAATAAAATCATGCGAGGCTCGAGGAATTACGGTGGGAGGCGTTAGGAATGCCAATGTTCAGCAGGTGAACAAACAGTGCCATTGACCTTGACCTTTTGTGATGTTATGATTGTCGCTCTTGTCAGTTAGTTTAGTGCTTGATACATCCAATCGAAGATACACGAATCTGACAGTTAGACGGTCTTTTTTCTTCCTCTCGCTCTGGACGATATGGGGACGTAACAGATGTTGAAGGTCTAGGCTGAATCCACTCGTGCAATGAATCATCCAAACATTTACGTTTGGGCATGGTGATCGATTTATCGATCCACCTTGGCTTGATTTGTTTCCTTACCCGACCGACAGAGGTCAATTACCGCTGGGTTCGTTCATTCGCATCTATGATGCACAACCGATCACGGACATAACGTTCCAAGGTAGGTCGGGGAGGGGTGAACAGCCCACCCCACCCCACGGAAACGTTTAGCCTCTCTCGGCAACTCACTAAAAAACACTTTTGCTTTTATACTGGGATTGTGAAACGTTCAGTAGCCTCCGTGGGATTCGAACCCACGCACGGACGGAGCCAACGCTCAGCGCACGCTCTATCAGCTGAGCTACGAGGTCACAACGATAGCACTGATCTTTTCACATTCGAATTACCCATCCAACTTACAGAGGCATGTGGCATCCACCAGTCAGCATGTAAGCTGATTGCCCCGACAGGTTTTCCTTAGAATTCACCGGAGTCCACCGAATGAATATCTAAGGTAAGGTTCATTGTGCAAATGTTTGTTTCGCAGATTGGAGTATTTTTTTGTTTTCGAAGAGAAGTGAGTTCATTCGGACTGGACGGGGTTTAGACAGACCAGGTCCAATCGGTGACGTTTGACGGGCGAAACACCAATCATCTTGTGGGGTTCCCATTGGAATGAGATTGGTTGGAGTCACTTGAAGTTGAAAAGTTATAGCCAGTGAATTTGTGGTGATCGTGTAACGAGTACGCACCGCGGTACAGCTTCCAGGTAACCAATCAAGAAACGGAATAACCGACCAACCCTGTGGTATCAATTGGCATCATCCGGATTGGCCCAGTGCAAGAAGGCAAACGGAAAAACCATATCGTTGTCGATTGGGCATTCAAGAATCAACCAATGATTGTTTGTTGCTTGTGATATATATTTCCATGATTTTCTGAATAGAACTAACTGTATCCACAGCTCGTCTTGGTTCTACCTGACTTTGCTCTATTCAGTGGGTTTTCAGTCCGATACCGAGTTCGCGCTATTCGATTTCGATTCCTATTCCGAATACTACAGAATTCCATTGAGGCAGAGGTCCCTTTGAATAAAAACGATTCATTTAAGCCAAATGCAATTGTCTACATAGTTCTGGCAATAAAAGTCACACTTTGCAAGACACTTAACAATGGTACAAGGATACAATGAACGAATTACCAGTACTTCACCTGAATAAAAAGATTAAGTTTGAACTCATTCACTAGTTAACATAAATTACATCTTTTCTCTTTAATTCCAGAATTGTCTATTGCGTTCCATCCATATAATAATTGGCAATAACCTATCCTATACAGTTTTCCCCTTTGTTACTCAGCTACATCCCATTGGTTCTTATCCTTGTTGCGATCCTTATAATTCAATGGGACATGTGATGAAAGGATCGTACAGAATAAATAAGGCTGTGGAAAGATGCGACAGTCTTGTGTACACACATTCTGTTGATATTCATTGTTTTCTGCAAGCCGAATGGTTCGGAAAATGCAACCGGTTTTCCCAGTTCATCAGTGGATCTCTCCGATCGCGAGGTTTGTACCATCTACCAGCATTGATATTAATTGCGTCACAAATGCCACATCTTCCATTGTATATAAACTGAGTACCTTGAGAGCCACAAACGGAGAATAGTGATGAACAATACACACACACCAAGGAATTAAAACCTTAAGGTGATGAGTTTGGGCATTTCAAGTTTCCAACTAGATAAGTCATGTATCTCTTGAAGCAAATACCGTACACGTATATATACAGAAACAGAAGCGGGGAAAACAAAACAATGAACTTGGGGGAACAACAATTTTGTTGGTTTGTTTAATGTAGGCAGTTNTGAATTTTTTATTTTTATTTATTTTGGGTATTGCACAAACATCACTGGCTTCGATTCGATGCCATATCTCGCAGTGTCTCCAGGCAATGACAATCCGAACCTTTGGGGCACCAGCCGGGGAGCCGGGAAACCTCAACGGAAGCCAAATCCGAACACAATCTCCTTAACCCTCTGCGCCACGTCATAGCCTGCCCATCTCGTTGTTTCTTCAACTCTGGACCGATGTCTGCGAATAGTG